GACCCATCAGACAGGATTGAGATAAGTCTCAATCGATTTTCCGTCAAAAATTACGTGGAAATAGAATCATGACAGCCCATTATAGGTGGGTTTTCTATGCCACAAATGTGATTTTGTATGCAGATTTCGACCATTCGTTTGTTCTATGAAGAAAAGTCAGTTTCGGACCAAATTTATAGGTAAACCGATGTGGAAAAGGTCGTTTTTCATGTATTTTGACGAAAAAATAGCAGTTTTTTCAAATCAAAATGTCGTAAGAGGCCATTTTCGACCATTTTTCCCACAAAAACGCTGAAAAATGACATATGATTCACCTGCCGAGGCCAAATACAAAAAATTGGATGGTTGTACACGGAATTTTATTTTCCCATCTGAAGCGGCGTAACATGGGCTATCTTTTGACGCCAAAAAAAACATGCCAAAAAACACCACTATTTTGAGATATTTAATATTTTATACTTTGAACCCATTTTTTAGGTTCCAATGGGGCCATAGAGGATAGGTTACTAGGCGGATTTTGTAGCCCCATCGATTCCCTTTCCAACGGTACCATAGGTTTGGCAATGTGTCAACTACTTCACAGTTAGTTTTTAGTTACCGCAAACCCTTTTTTTCGATTTTTTCAATTTTTCGCAAAATTTACACTGGGTGAACTCAGAAATGTGGGCCACTTACAGGCCTGAGATTTTGGTTTTCTCTTTTTCTATCGAAAACCAGGCTCCAAGCCAATTTTCAGCCAATTCGGCGACCTCACATTACAACTCTTCCCTGATTTCGTGTGGAATGGCCGATAGATGATGATATTTCAGTAAAAAGAATATAGGTTTACTTTACATTCAAGGTTTTTAAACTTTTACGTACAATTTAAGTTAGAATGTAAGCAAAACATCTTTTGTTATGAGTAATGCGCACAGACGTCCTCGTTTCAGTAGGACAGTCCTCGTTTTTGAGAACGATCCTCGCGTCCTCCGCGATTTTCAAAATCAGTCAAAATGTCCTCGTTTTTAACGAATGAAAAAAATATTAAAATTTCACCTTAAAAACGGTAAAATACGAAAATCATTCTTCAAAATGAACATCTAAATTCGGATAACACACTTTTTCGCTTAATCAGCTACTTTCTCGACCTTTATATTTGCGACTTAGATCTCATTTTTGGCTATTAAAGTATTATTTATTTGACAACAAATGTAAACATTTTCTCATGTTCTTTGTTCCATTTGCAATAGCATAGGCAGTGAAAACAGTATTTATTGTCGGTTGCATTTTCTTTATTCTGCTATACACACTAAGAAACAAAAATAAACTATCATTCGATAATCAAGACAATCGAAACGTTGTCGTTTAAAAATATTAATCTCTGTTTCGATCGCTTTGAAAAACTGGCGAAAGTTCTTTCTAGAAAGTGAGTAGTAAGCGATAATGAATATGAATCACTACGGATTATAAAGTCGCTATTGATTGGGTTTGCTTGGTAACGCAATTCTCGCAAAATTCACTTTTGAAAATTGCTACTGAAAACAGCTGGTCGAAATGCATCACGATGAAATGAAACGATTGTTCATCCAAATAAACAATTTTATTGGTAAGTTTAACGAAAACGACATGATTTGTTTATGTCTACAGTTTGTTTTTATGCATTTACGTTCCGAGAAAATATCAGTAATAATTTTAATTATCGATGGGCGCAAAATGACGAATGGTTTCAATAAATGTGTTCACATTTTGCAAATCAGTATTGATTCGACGTTGAACTTGTTAACTCGAACGACATGCCAGACAGAAAAATATCATTCAACATGTTGTGACAGCATTAGATGCTCTTGAAATAATGACTCAATTGAAATTAGTTGTTGAAGGTCGATTGAAAGATAAATTTCGTTCATCTGCATTTCGTGATGAGATGGAAATGATAAGAGAATTTCTTCTCGATTTTGAAGAAAAAGCGCAAAAACGTCCAAATGGAGATTGATGAAGAGGACTTAAATGACATTTTTGAAGAATTTTACAGCGATTGCATCGAATATTTATCGTTATGGATTGAACCATTGCTCCCAATAAAAATGTGGTCGTGAGCTTCTTTGCGAAAGGTACTCGAATGGGAAGACGTTCAGCCGTGCGTGGATGAATTGATGAAAAAGAAGTTGTTCGGTGAATCTGATGATCTTAAGGTCCACGCAACGTCAAATTGATGATTGAAAAATTATTGCCGAATTGGGAAAACACGAAAACCACTCCCGAAAACCGACGGATTGAAGTTCTACAATTGCTTCGTAGCAAAAATGTTTCTTTCAACAAGTTTTTCAAAGTGGTTGAATACGCCATGGTCATGCCCGGTAATTTGAAAATATTATTTGTTAAAATGTCTGTTTTATTTATTATTCGTGAATTTTGTAGGAACGAGTGCAGTGTGTGAACGATTATTTTCATTGATAAAGAATTACTGGACTGACAAGAAAAGTCAGCTGACCATGGATACTTTGAACTGCTGGCTAGCAATCAAACACAATTGCGGAATGACTTGCTCGGAGTTCCATAAATACATATTGACACAACCAGAATTGCTACAGAAAGTCAAATCAAGAGAAAAATATTAAAATGAATAACATAAAGTATAAGTTTGAACTGTATTTTTCTTTTTTTGTCATTAAATATCATTCTAAATTAAAAGTTCGAAATCTCCCTCTTTTTTTCCTCCAAAAAAAATGTCCTCGTTTTTTGCGAAGAATATCTGTGCACATTAGTTATGAGGAAACGTTTTCTTTTTCAACAAATACATTGAAATAAAATTTTGAAATGTTTTTGGGACGACTTTGTAATTATTTTAGTACGATTTTGTTATTTTTGGGTCGTTTTTGTTTTTTCTTAGGACGATTTTGGTGTGGGTTTTGGGACGATTTTGTAATTATTTTAGTATCATTTTGTTATTTTTTGGGTCGATTTTGGTACTCTTTGGTACGGATTTGATTTCATCCATTTTATCACTCCCACTCGATTTATTTCATCAAAATAATAGGGGCCCAGGAACAACCTAGCACCCGCCAACCCACCTTTTTTTCGTATCCAATCGGTATTGAATAAATAGTCTTACCTCCGTAAGAAGAACTTTTCCGCACCGTTTTCATAGCGTTCAGCTTTTATTCAGATTTTTCCTAGGAAATTCATAAGAATTTCCCCACACGAATTTCGAACTGGCGAAGCTGTCAATGGAATGTGTGACTGTGTGCGCTTTTTATATGGTTGACATCACATCACATCGCATCGCACATCGACTAATGTTCAATTCAAAGAACATTTAATTTTTTTCCTCGATTGAACATGTGCTGTGTAATTTTTCGTTTCATGAATTGTTTTTGTATGAAGATTTTGAGCAGTTTTTCAGAAACTAAACCAAAATTCGTTTTAAATTTAATGTTTTTATCTCTTTATTGAATGAGAATGCAAAAAAATATTGATTTGGAAAAATTGGAACAAAATGTGACGAGTTGAAAAAAATACCATTTAAAATAACGACATTTTTCTTGACCAAAATTATAACGCGTCTTTTTTACATTGTATTTATATGGCAGCCCTTTGAATCCATAGAACAACATGAATGAACGAAGGAGTGATTTGAAACTCTCATACAAAAGCGCGATTTTTAGCAAAATTAAGAACAAAAAAATGCAAGAAATTTTGAATTATTATACCGATTTGATACGAAAAAAGTAGGTTAGCGGGTGCTAGGTATTTCCTGGGCCCCTATTAATTTGATAAAATCCACCTGGGGAGCCTATTTTGGGTACCTCCCGAACAAAAGTTCAATTTTTCAAGGAATTTTGAAGTAACATACCAATTTAATACCAAAAAGGTGGGTTGGCGGGTGCTAAGTTGTTCGTGGGCCCCTATTATTTTGATGAAATAAATCGAGCGGGAGTGATAAAATCCACCTGGGTAACCTATTTTGAGTACCTCCCGAACAAAAGTTCGATTTTTTGAAGGTTTTTTATAGGCTAGGTATCCTAGGGTACATCTGGGGTGGCTGGAAATTTAATGGCTAATTTACGACGAAGAATTCGAAAATGCAATCATTTTTTGCCAAAAATCAGGTCCACTGCCTTGATTTGGGCAGTTGTGGTGAGATTGTGCGATTTTTTCACCTTCTTCTTCAATAATAGCCTCCCCAATGCCAAATTTGAACCATATAAATGAAACATGTTATACGCCAAAGGAAACTAGACATCAAGCGCTACATTTGAGGAACACACTGCACCAGTGCTAGTGCCTTAGAAGCAGTTAAAAATGGTTGCATACTCGCAGGAGCATGATTTTTCAAACTGCCGACCTCGATTTGGGGCAGAAGGGAGGGTTTTATCAAGTTAAAATGTTCTACGCGTAAGTAGGATTTTCTAAGAGATTTCCGAATATTATAGTGATTTGGGGCCAAAAGGGTTTCTGCCCTGTTTTAGCCCTAAAATAGTGATTTTCGGTGATTTTTCGACTTTTTTAGCCTCCCCCTCCCTTCCAAAGGGGAGGGGGACCCCAAACATTGTTATTTTTTGATTCGCTGGAGTCTGGCGAAAATTTTATCAGAACACTTCACCAGTGTCGGACCACCTATTTGGTGTGAAAAAAAAAGTAGTCGAAAAACCATGAAAAAACGGTAAATGGTGAAAACTCCGAATTTTTTTCTCATAAAATATGAGGTGGCGGATAGTTAGGGAATATCGAAAAACTCAAGAATTTGAGGTGGGCCGACTTTTAAGCCCAAAAATTGGAAAAAATAAAACCACGTCTAATTGACTTTTTCACATTTTATACTTTGAACCCACTTTTCAGAGCTTGAATGAGCCCGGATGGGGTTGTCGCAGTGGACTTTTTTGTAGCCCCATCGATTATCTATCCAACCATGCATATAGTTTTGAAAGTTTGTACCACACTTTTCTAGTGTAAAAATGTCAAAAAGTGCCATTTTTCATTTTTTTCAATATTTGGGTCACCCTAACTTTTCATCAGGTGGGGAAGGTCACCCTAATTTTTTGGCTTTGCGAGTTTTTGGCCATAAGAAGTTTATACACCAAGTTTGAGCGAAATCGGGGAGATCACTTGCAAATTTTGTCCCGCTTGGTGCGGAAAGGTCGATGAAAGTTGTATGGACTCGCTAGGTGCCGCCACAAGTACTACTTTCTTCATTCATTGTCTCACTGGTATTATATATCAAAACAAAAAATTCAACTAATGCAAATGTATGAAAAAGTAATATTCTTACTTTCATTGATTAAATTAATTTCAGACAATTCAAATTCGTTTATTATAGTTTTTCTTTTGAAAAACAATATTAGCCGCTCCACGGTGAATTCGGAGTGTTGCCGCTCCATGGTGAATTTGTAGAGTTGCCGCTCCAACTGGATCGGCCGCTATTAATTATTGCTGAGGAGTCAATGTTTGATTTATCTCTTTGACTTTTATTAATACGAAAGTGTTATTTAGCCTTTTTAAACTTCAGGTTTGCAAAAACGTAGAATAAAAATGTAATTAGGTGTTGAAATTATTACACTGTAATATTGGTTACACGGGGGTATCATTACACTAACAACAACATAATTTGCAAAATTATATTCGTCCAAAACCTGCTGACACGGAGTGAACGAGCTCACTTTACAAACGCACTTGTTCATATTGCCGGTTTGACAGTTAATAACAAATCGACTTCTGTTTCAGTGTCGTTTTTTGTTCGAACGCAAACGTTTTCTCAGTATGGTCCGCAAAATTAAAAAAAACAATTCTGCCACGAACGAGTTTCTATTTTGAATCTAACATTTTGTGTTTTTTTTAATTATGGAAACTCCAATATATCATATAAAACCGTAATTTCCTCTCATACAACTCAATTGAAAATGGAAGAAAAACAATTTTTTTAAATACGGGTTTAATCTACCGGAAGAAAGCAATTTTTTGTCTTGTGTGCCAGCGGAATATTTGCACAATTTCATTTGGCAGAATCGAAACATTTTTATTTATTTAAAATTCAAATAATTATTATTATTTCACCACACAACACAATGACGACTATGTTTGACACTGCATTGAATACACTCATCAATGTAGTTCCCGTCAAAATGTGTGGCGTTGTTGGTTTGACGTTTAATGATCGAGACTATCGCGGTGATTGGTTATTGATGTAATCAATGCTGGCTGCTATTGTAATCAATTTCGATGGCCGCTCCAAGAACACGCATGTTATGTCTCATGAAACTATGTTTTTATGATTTTATAATTGTGCCAAACAAAGATAATGAAAATAAGATGCACTTGAAAAATATTTAATTTGTGATAATAATATTATTTTAGAAAAAAATGAATGAGAAATGTATGACCGCTCCAGTCGCTCCAAGCAAATATAAAAATGGCGTCTCCATATGACATGACATTTCTATCTTTGTGCAGCTCAACTGTCAATCTTCAATCCCCCTGTTTTAATAGGTAAAAGAAACCAAATTAATATTTCAGAACAATTGGAATAGATTCAATATGCTGCCAACAATGGTAATGTTGAATATCACGGAGGACGATAGTCCGACAAGTGACGCTCCAACAACTGTGCATTTCAAGCCAATGTAGAATACTACAGCCCATTATTACGCTTGCATCGTCATAGATTCCTTGGACCTTAAAACATTTGTTTTTTTTAGGCCCTGAAGAAGAGTCGCAGATGACTTGAAATGTCTGCATTTATTTTAAATAAATTATCGATTAGAACAAAGACCGAATTGGCTTTCATTTCAAAATCAATTCTTTTCTTGATATTCTTGATTGAATGAGATAAAATAAAATTTTAGCGATAATATGAAAAACGCACACCACGGAGGACCTTTAAGCTTTTGACCAGAACAAACGCCATCTAACGATGGAATTATAACTAGTTTGACCGATAGTAAAGCTTAAACGAAAATTCAATGCTAGGTAAAAACTTCTTGAAAAGTGCTTGATAAACTTAATAAATAAATACATTTTTCGATCTTTGACACAAACGGAACAAGCTTTTTCTCAGTATTAGTGATATTTTTCTCGAATCTGTGCATAGGTGTTAATTTTTGTAATAATTATTCGTTTTTTTATTCACTTATTACTTTTGTCATATTTATTCATTTATTCGTTATTCGTTCTTATTCGCGAATAAGAACGAATAATTATTCATTTATTCGTGAATAAGTTGTAATAGTTATTACTTCTTACAACTTCTTTTTCAATTTTCATTCGTTTTCTTATTCGTTTCTTATTCACTTCTTATTCGTTTCATATCTTATTCAATTTTTATTACATTTCTTATTCGTTTCTTGCATGAATAAATGAATAATTATTCGTTCTTATTCGCGAGTAAGAACGAATAACGAATAAATGAATAATCACATAAAATGAATAAGTAATAAAATCTTCTATTACTTATTATTTATTCGTTACACCTATGAATCTGTGCCATGAAACAAAAAGTTGGCTGTGTTGGTACGAAATGCGACAGTGACAGAATTTTTTTCTTTTTTATGTGATTTGTATCGGATTGTAAGTATTTCTTTACGTGTGTGTTCATTGGAATTTCAAACTAATTGAGGAGCTGTCTATATTTCTATGGGAAGTGTTACTGAGTATGGATATGATTTTGCATGACATTCGCTTGTAATTTTTTAAGGGAATGCGTAGATTTGTATCAATATCATCGTTACCTTATTGAGTAATGTAAAGTAAATGTGATACCGTATATCCTTGCATCAACTAACACTGTAGCTATTGAACAAAGCAACGCCACCATGGCATGTGAGCCTGAATGTAACGCAAAGGTATGAGTCATGTTGGATCGACTTTGAAACGGAATGTGTTTTGTGCATGCAACGAAGATGTAATTTTTTTAAATTTGAACAGCCACGTGCCATAGCAACACCACTCAACTCTTTAAGAGTGAAAAATATTTACTTTTAAAATTTTTGCATTGAATTTGTAGTTTAACCCTTTGACGACCAAAACTGAACGGCTTGGAATTTTGCAATTCTGATAGCAGATTCGTGCTCAGCGACCCCAATAACCTTAGTAAAAGTGTTATCAAAAATTAATTTTTTCAACTGAAAATATGAAAAAAATGATGGGACATATGTGTCCCATTGGTCGGTAACGGTAACTACCTTTGTATGGAAGAAAATATGTCTCCCATAAGAACTACGTGTAAAATCTTTTTCGTTTTTAAGATGTTCAGAATTGTTTGGAACCGAAAATGGTTTGAATTGTGCTTTGTTGTGCCCATTTAATCACGAATTTGATGATATTTTTGTAAATTTTGGTTTTTGAAAATTCGCGAATAATGGTCAAAATACAGGCAAACCAGTGGTAATTAGTTACCTTTACCGACCAATGGGACACATATGTCCCATCGCGCCAAAAGCAATAAAAATTTAAAAAAATATTTTTTTGGAGAAAAGTCGATTATTTTTAGAAAGAAACGGACATTCCGCACAACATTTCAAACTTTTAGCTTTAAAAGTTGCACCGTTCAAATTATATAGGGTTTGGCGCAACTTGAAAAAAAAGTCAAGATTTTTTGACTTTGAAGTGTTCTATTTGAGCGCAGTGATGATAAATATCCAATATTATGGTACTTTCTGGTAGCTACATTCATTCTCTTTCAATAGAAACCAATTTTATCGAAATCGGTTTAAAAATGTGAAAATTATTGACGAAAAACAAAATGGGACATATGTGTCCCAAAGGTCGTCAAAGGGTTAAAGAAGGTGATGAAAGAATAAATGTAAACATCTGATATTTTCAATGCAAAACATTCGATGTGAAACGCGAAATTAAACACACATGCACAGGTGGAATTGTAATTCCACCAATTGTTTGACATTGTTATCTTGAAAAATGTGTGCGATAATATTTTGTGGGCTTTAATTGGAATTACCTTATTGAGTGATGTAAAGTAAATGTGATACCGTATATCCTTGCATCAACTAACACTGTAGCTATTGAACAAAGCAACGCCACCATGGCATGTGAGCCTGAATGTAACGCAAAGGTATGAGTCATGTTGGATCGACTTTGAAACGGAATGTGTTTTGTGCATGCAACGAAGATGTAATTTTTTTAAATTTGAACAGCCACGTGCCATAGCAACACCACTCAACTCTT